AGGTAGATTTGTGCCAGGTTGAAAAATAATTCAAGCGCCGCAGGCAGATGCAACGCTTAAGCTTCATCATAAATAACAAGCTCGAGTTTTGCTCAGCACCTGGCTGCCATCTTTAACGCCATTTTGTTTTGTTGTTCGGGGTGCGCGCAATTCCGTTTCCGCTGCGGCGATTGTTGCACTGGGAGCGCGAAGCGCGCGTCACAAGTCGCAGGGCGTCTGATTTATGAGTCGCTTTTTATATCACCGTCAAAATAAATATCAAAAAGCAACAAATTGCGGCCATGCCGCACGAACTTGAGCTGCCTCCTCGCTGCCTAAAGTTCTTGTCGCAGTTGGCGCAAGGCCGCAACACCTAACATGCACCCAGCTGGGGCCAGCCAAGGCGTCCTGTCCAACCTCTCTCCCCGCTTGCTTCAATTGGCCTTTGGCTTTTGTGTGCATAAATTTTGAAATTGTTTGCCCCCTTTTTGTTGTCGTTGCCGTGGCCGTTGTTGCTGCTGTCGTATTGCGCGTTGCACACTTTTTGGCTACAGTATCCTCGGCTTAATAAAGTCGCCTACTTAACGCAAACGACAATGAAACGACATTCTATGCGCATATATATATAAGTGTGTGTGTGTGTGTGCCTGCTGGGTGCTTGGCCGCGATGAGGTGAGCATTGGCTGGCTAGGGGGTTAGAGCCATGTGTCACACATCCGTATCCGGTGTTGGCATTGGCATTAGGCCACCTCTCAGACGTTTGCCATTTCCGATACGGCATGCGACTCTTAATGCTCTCGCTTTTATTTCACTCACTCTGCACTCTTGTGTCGCCTTTTGTCCAGTTTCTTATTCTTTTGTAATTCAGCTTGCCTTTGATTCCTCGTTTCATATTTTACTGCGTGTAGCCTTACACAGTGCAAAAACGTTAAACGCGTTGCTTTCAAAATGTCTGAAGTGCTATTTGAGCAACTTTTTTTAGTCATCCCAATGCCTTGACTTAGCCACTTTTTTATTCAGCTTAAAGCGTCTGTTAAAGAAAATCGTTTTTCATTCATGGTATTTTTTAGTAATTGTGACTCGTTTGGTATCTATTGGCTTGACTATCGAATGAAATAAATATTTATGTCATTAAAACAGAGAGAGCAAGCGAGAGAGAAAGAGTGCATGAGTGTATTTAATCATAAGAGTTAAGAACATAACTCATTGATATAACATTTATAATAAAAGCTTAGAAGTAGTTGTAAAAACAAGTGTAAGTTTTACTTAGCAAACTTATGAGAATAGCATAAAAGGGTAATAGGTAAAATATTTGTGACGCAGTGTTTGCTTCCCATCGTGTTTCCGGTAATATAATCAATTAATATTATTATTAATGTTTATAAATAAGAAGAAATGATGATCGTTCTAATCAATGCATTATGGGGATTTTTTCGATCAACCAATCTACTACAACTTATTTGTGTGAATAAAAAATATTTAAAGGCCCCAACTTTAATTTTAGATTTGGAAAAATTAGAAGTGAATTAATTATATTAGTTATCAAAAAACGATTGTTTAAGAATTTTTTCATTAAGCTTGCATTTTATTTAAATAAATTTTTTATATTGAAGATCTAGCATCATATTTAATTTTTCTTAATATTTATTTGACGGTGCTTAACCACATAGGTGCCCTGCAGACTACATCAACTACATCTGCCAAGTAGAAAATCCCTAATAAACTTTTTCCCCAGTTACAAAACCGTTTTTATGAAGTGCTAATATGTCGTTGTTAGCTCAGACATAAAAAATTAAATCTCAACATGGCAAATGTTTGAGTTAATCACAAATTTGTTCAAATTATTTGAATAACACAGCCGCTGAACCATTGAGTGCGTGTTTAAGAGTGTGCGTCTGTGTGCGCACATTCACATTTACATTCACACACTTAAACATGAATAGTTAATACAAATTAGGACAATTGGGAGCCACAGTCGTAACTGTCCTTGTGTCTCTTTTATACACCCATTACTTATAAATGTAGCCGAATGGGTAATACTATATAGCTGTAGAGGACTCTGACTCTCCCCTACGCTAAAAAGTATTATAAATTATATTATTCATTTTCATGATTAGTCGAGGAATCTGTCAGCTCCCATATGAGCTTGGCTTGTAGGTGCCTGATTTTGTGTTATATACAGACGAAATTTGGTCGTTTCTTCGTTTTAGATATATCTTAAAACATCTGAATACTCATGTTTGTTTTGCCTACTTAAGACATGCATACGGGGTATCTTTTAGTCGTGAACCTTTTTCATTAATAATTCTTACTTGTTTTGTAACAAAGCTAATGAGTTTCTAGCAAGTGCGTTTCAAATTGGTTTGATTCGGGTTCTGGTTCTGACTTTATCTCAGACTCACGGTTGAGCATGGCAAAGGAATTTCTCTAGCTGGCTGCTGTGACTGGGTTTTCCGTGTATTTTGCACAATTGTGACATTTTCTTGTGCGCTTACTTCGCATATGCAAAAGCCCCCTAGGCTTATGCTTGACTTTGGCTGCCTTTGCTGACAAGTCACAGACAAAGCTGTGCGGTTGTAAGTTTGATAAGACATTTTTGTGTATGCGAAACAAATTGTTTTAAGTGCGCCACTTAAATGGCTGCTGCTCTTTACAAGAAAATGAAATTATAACAAAAAACAGCAGACAGCATACAGTTGTAGGTGATTAAAGAGCGAATGGTGGCTTCATAATATTCGCATTAATATTTCATAAGTACTAAGAGCGATACATTTAAATATTTAATTATATTGCGAAGCCTTTTAATGGCCGTCGCGGCACTTTACAGGCGCCGTTTAATCCTTTCGCGGCATATTTTCCAACGCAACGGGAGTTAATGAGGCACATTTTCATTTCCATTTCCATTTCTATGCGAAGCACGCAACGCGCAGACATTAAACCTGAATGCCCCTGCCCGGAAATGAGATGCTAAACCAACTTTCTTATCAGCCAAAGTTTATCTGTTAATCAACTTTAGGATGATATCTTGAGGATAATCAAACTACAATAAAAACAACAAACAAATAGTTTGTGTAACAATTTTAATTTGAAATAGTAATAGTATCAACAATAACAATAGTCATATTATTAATAAACACATTGTAATTTAGTTAAACAACAAGAGGGAGAGGATCGCACTGTATATGTATATGAGTTTACAAATAATATAATTAAAAACATGAATCGGGTCAAGTTCTACAACTTCTCGTTTCTATTTCCGTAGATATCAAACGCGTTAAAAACTACCCACTTCAACTGTTTACTATGTGAATTCTATCTTTCTGCAAGAAACTCTAAAAATACAAACAATTTTCATGAGGTATTTCCATGAATTATTGTTTTACCTCTGCCATTTCCGAACACTTCTAACCTTAAATCTGGATGCTGCTGTGGCACTTTAAAAGGGTATACTCATTTTGCTAACGCTAACGCAAAGATAGTTATTCGTATATGATATATAATCGGAGGGAATTTAAGTAAATTCTATAATGACTCTCAATTATGCTGATGTCAAAAGATATTCGAAACTATCTAGATCGACCAAATTTTAATATTGAAATGAAATGTAATAATATCTTCGTGTGATTAACATTTGTTGACAAATCTAATTTTTAATAAATAACAGACAAGTTCAAAATAAGCTTGCACATAAAGCTTTATGATAAACAATTTAAATGTAATACCTCATAATATTGATTTAAATATAGTATTGAATCTATATATACATTTATTTGAACATATAATAACACAAAATTAATTAGATTTATATAAAAGTATGTTTCAAAAGGTTTTCAACCGTTCGAACATTTAAAATTTAAAAGTCTTTATTCGCAAATTTTCTCTTTTGGAGTTCAACTAGCAAAAATTCACAAAAAAACTGCTTAGTTTAATAATTCAGGAACACTTTCCAAAGTATATTACTCATTCTCTATAATAAGTTCAAAGTATAATTAGCTAGTATAATTGAAAAGCCGCCCGTCCGGAAAACGAGTGTCTAGCAAACCAATTTCAGGAGCGCGGTATATAGTTATATTTTTAAAAGCATACGTACCCTTGCGTGTTGTTAAAGCTAATCCTATTCACATCAGGATCATAGAGCTGCAGCTATCTACCTTTCCAGAGGATTATATTGATTTTAATTTCATACACCTTTGAACATATTTTCTGCATTTTAGTTTTGGGCTAACTTTTACAAATTATGGAAATTAATTAGCTTTTTGATACTATTGATAGTTTTATATTTCCAATTTGTTTTATGTTTAAATCTGATTTTTGAAATTTATATATAAGTATATGTATAGTAATTATATCTAAAAGGGTATTCAATCTTCGTCAATCCTCAAATAAGTATGTTCTCTTGTCTTTTTAATGTAATTTTATTGTACTACATGCAAACAAGCGTGTTGGGTCTGGGATAACGGAAGGTCAGACAGATGCCAGCTAGCTACCACTTAGATATAGACAACAGAGCAGGGCACTACCTTATATAGGGCAGAACTTAATTTCATTCAGCTCGACTGAGTCTCGAACATTGCTGCTGGTTGCTTGTTTATTTATGCTCGCCACAAGGCCGCAAGGCTACAACGCAACGCAGTTCATAGTTAAGCCTGAAACTGGCTTCTCGTCGCGGTGCAGTCATGTTAAGGCTGGTAACTGGCAATTTTGCCACTCAAAGGCAAATGAAGTGTTCACGCCCCAACTCAGCCCCCGAAAAGCGCCAAAAGCGGTTGGCAACTGTCGCATCCGGTACGCGAAAAATGTCGGCCCGAAAATTGGCTCCGTGATTCGCAAATCTGCAAATAAAAATCTGTTGAACAAAAAATCAACTGCACGCAATGTGACGTGCCGGATAACGGTGTGAGCCGCCCCCCACCCACCCCCCTTTTGGCACCTGCGGCAGCAAAGAGGCGTGTCGGTGCATTCAGGTGTCGCGTGTTTGAGTTCTCAATTTTATTTCAATCTCTCTTGTCCGTCCCCTACAGGTGGATTAAAATTCATGCTATGCGATTTGAATTATGCGACGTTAAGTGCAACAAGCTGCAATTTGTGTGATCGCTTCCGTGCCCGTGCTCCGTGCCCCGTGCCCCATAACCCGTGGCACTACCTGTGCTTCGATGCCGTAGCTGCAACTGAAGCTGAGCTCGTTACCACATCCGTATCCGGCCGCCGGTGTTGCACTTGATGGATTGTTCAATTTAGCCGGCGCTCGGCATATCAAATCACAATATCCAACACATCGAGACTTATGTGCGTCCCGTTGAATGCAACAACATGTTGACGACACACCACCTGCATCATTTGCATCATCATCGCGGCAGCACAGCGGTCGAATTGGATAAGGTTACCAATTTGAACACGGTAAGTTTTTTATTAGAGATATATTAGCATTAATCAAATTGTTTTTATGATCGTTTACAAGCCGATAAGAGTTAATTGTGTTTGTCCAAAGTTCGATTTTCCACCCGCTCATCCGCCCATCCGCCCGTCCGTCCGTATAACCCCAAAAAGAGCGAGGACAATCGGAAAAAAATTAAGCTACTACAGGCTTAGTGTGATCAAATTTGAATTGATAAGCTCCTCTTAAAAGCGAAAAAAAAAATATTCGACATCCATTTATTTTCATTAGTACTTTAATATTCATATGCATTTTTAAATCGGAAAATCTATGTCTGTTTATAAATGTTGGGCATGTTGAGTGTTACGTAGACAGTTGCACCCGAATATATCTGTACTAGTAGATATATTGTGTCTCGTTTTCTCATGTTGATGGTAACACCATTTGTAATTTTTTGTTTTTCAATATATATAGTGTAAAATTAACTTTAGTATGTAAAGCTACAAAATTTATATTAAAACTTTTCCACGGATGTGCCTTGTTCAATATACTAAATCAGATCTCCTTTAAATCGGCTTTACTTGCAAATATATTCTAATTGTTGGACTTTTGTTAGCAATGAGGTGAATGGTAACTTCTAAGACCCAAGCAGATTTATATAATTAACTTCATAATGAGAAATGCAGCAAAAATAAGGGGAGTAATTTGACAAATGTTGTTTTTTTTTTTCAAAAACACATTCGAAAAATTCTACATATTATCTAATCTGATAATATGACATAAATACATTTTATATTTTCTTAGGAAATTTGACAGAAGTTAAATATTTGTATTTTTAAGAGCCATCCAGCTAAACATATTATATCATAGTATATATTTCATATTTGGATTTGCTGGGTGTTCATAAACGTTACGTCCATATAGAATTTCATTAATTTTTTTCATTGAAATAATCTTTAGTGCACAGACTTTACTGAATTCGAAATCAATTTCAAATAAATCCTTTGAATGGTTTCAATGCTGTTGGCGACATTTTAAGCTGCCCACGCCTTAGCTTATGCAACATTAATTTGAAGATCCGTTACCGGTGGCAGCGGAAATGCGTTTTCAGCTGCTTCTCGTAGCGCAGCAACTTACTGAAAGCTGATTGCAGCGGCCTTCAATTAAACTTGGCAGTTGCAATAAAGTCAAAGAAAAAGCAACATGAAATCAGCGCGGCAAATAATTTGCAATCTTCGCTGTTGCAGCAGCAGCTGTGAGCATCTGCCTTCAGCAAAATAAAAATAACATTAAAGAAAAAGAAAAAAAAAACCTAAAAAAGAAATACCGTGTCTCTGCGGCACGTCGAATATTAAATACCCTTTAAGAATTATGTTTGACGGCTTGGGCAGTGAAGTAAAAACACTTTTGCATATGAAAACTCATTTGCCTACCGGTTCTTCATATAAGATATGGAGGAGCATAGTTAAGCCATTAAATGCTACATAATATAATCGGCCGATGTTTATAATATTTGGCTCATAAATTAGGAGAAGACTGAAACAAACAAATGTCGACTTTGGAAAAGATATCTTGCACGCGAAAACTCACTTTTCGACCCATTATAAGATCTGATTTGATTAAGCATGTTTCATTCTTTGTTACACGATTCATGACAAAATTATAATGCCCTCTTCAGAGGTATAAAAAGATAATGAAAAAGCTTTCCATATGTGACAGCAGTGGACAAAAAATAAACATAGTAAGAAGTTTTATGTTAAAGATATTATTAATTTACATAAAAATTAAATAAAATAAAAGCTCAGCACTCGAGAAAAGTATTGCAGTCGAGAGGCATACGAAAGCATATTTCATTCATATATGAATTCGCTTTACCCTTCTCCGGTTTCAAGTGCGGAAATTTAATGTACAACATTTTGGGCGGGATGGCTGCTGGGCAGCAAATGAAAAATGCTGCCGGAAAATTCAGAGCGGTCCAGCGAAAAAGAAAATGTGAAACACGTTTATTGCCATTCATTATATTCTCGCGAGCTGTTGCGCAAAGTAATGAAGCACTTTTGTACAAGGCTCTGTTGTCCGCTATCCTTTTTAGAGTCTACTCCCAAACTGCCACCACGCAGCCCCCTACCCTTCGTCCCCCCACCACTTACCAACATTTGACATGTTTTTGCTTTTGAAAAACAGCAACGTGGCAACTGGCGAATTGACTGTGATGAGAGCCGTGGCTCAAGAAAAATTGCTCGCTGCCTTGCGCCAGAGTGGAAATAATAATTTTTGTATGGCCATTGCAATTTCTCCCGACGGCTGTGTGGGTCCAGCAGGGGGCGTGGCAGTTGTAAATGTATGCGTGCAAAAACTACAACCAATTTTCATTAAATAAGCGCAAGTGCTCCCTCAAAAAAGCAAAAATAACAACAACAACTGTAAAGACCACCAATACATCTTCATTACTTAACTTCAAAAATAATATATGGCATGTTTGTGTAAACATTTAACGGTCACTGTACGAAGCCCCAACTTCTGTGTGTGTATGCGAAAAAAAACTGAAAACTTGTGCTTAAGTTTAGCGTTGAGAATTTGTCTGACAGCTCGTGTGCGGAAATGTTTGAAGGACAAATAAATTTGGATTGCGTATGCGGGTCGCCGTCTGGATATAAAGCCGCACAGCGGGAAATAGAAATAGTGTGGGTATGCCTGCCTCAACTGAAATACCCTTTCATGTTCCTGAACACAAAGCAATTACATAACACATTTTGGGTATATGTATCTGAAACCACTTTGAGTTGAGTTTGTTTATTTAAATAAATTTATTTTATTCATTTTATTTTATTATTTTAATAATTTATTTATGTTTTATATTTTTCCCTCTCGGCGACTCGAATTCCGATTTGATTGTTAAAGAAGCGAAGCTATTTAATTATCAATGATGGCATACTTATTATTAAACCCAAGAAACACTTTAAATATGACAACCCTCCGCTTACCATTCTTTAAATGACTTTAATTATTTATGATTAATGTTTTCCATAATATAAACGAAAACCCTTTGGACACGTAGTGCGTCTGCATAGTGGTTATACCCTTTTTTTTGGAAGTGCTCTGTAAGCTTAGCGCAAACAAAGGATCGTGTTCAAGGCGCATACATGCCCAAGTAAACAAATAGATACAAATGACACGCGTATACAGCTCTAGATGGGATATTGCGTTCTAAAACTGACTCGTATAACTTTCAGTACGACTAGAAGGTAAATGCGCAGTAGCCAGCGAACTGCCCTATTTGATAGTTGATTGTCAGTCAGCTTGATTGATAATGTAAGCTGAGCAGCCGAATAGTAAGGGCCAAATGGTCGTGCCTTACCTCATAGTCGTTATCGCCTGCTATTGAGTGTGATATCTCAGCTCATTCTGCGGCCCCGTGACATGGAAATGTAAGCAGCCAACAATCACTAAAAGGTCAGCCAGTCAAGCTATCAGCCAGACGGCGGACAAGCATCTTATCGATTCCAGGCTTACGACTCTTTGCTTTTATTTTCCCAAAGTGCCAAATGGATGCTGTAATCGTCGGTATGATAAAAGCCTTAAGCCTCTGTTGCTTGAACGAATAAAACAAAGGGGTAGGGTTGATAGATGAGTTTTGGAAAAAATCGTAATGCCGTAAGTGGCGCAAAGTAAACCACGAGACGTCAGTAAAAACTGCATTAGGAATATGTGTTTACTTTGCTTTAACTGTGTATCCAAACTGAAATCACACTTCACTTAAACCTAAAAGATGGAAATGAAGCTGACTAATGAAAATTATATATATATTTAGCGTAGTTAAAGAAAGAATCAGAACTTTGTCAAATGAATCGTTGACTAGAAAACAAAATTGCAATATAATTAAAGTAATTGTTAAAGCATACTTTTACTTTGTTGCATGCTTAAATCTTTAAGTAAAATCCATTGAGCTCCTCTTTCTTGCTATTCCCTTTGAATAAAGTTATGTTTTCCTTTTTTGAAAAAAAGTATTAATAACCCACAGAGCGGACTGCTTATGATGTATACATAATTGCCAATTGGCCTATACCTAATGACCTTCTGTGGCATTATGTGGCTTAGTATTACACGATGTACTGGGAAAGCACATGAAACCCAACTGTTGGACACTTGGTCCCCAGCCTTTTGTTATTGCTCGCACAGTTGTTCGATGGACACATACAAGCCACACACTCACGCACACACACAGCATGGCACACCCACTGAAAACTTGGACACTTGCAATTGCCAGCGTGCGTCCAATTGCACTTTGTATTGTTGCAGTTGCAGCTGCTGTTGCTGAGCAGCTCTGCGGCTTTGGCTGGGCCATTATGAGGGCCTTTAGTGTTCGATGTGAAGGCCGCCTGCCAGTTGGTTGAATAGGCAGTTAGTCAGTTGACTAGTTGGTTGCTTCCGGCCTGCCAGTTCTCAGTTGGCAGTTCGATTGTAATTATGCCATAGATGAACTTGTTAGCTAATGCCTTTTGCCTTAACCCTGCCAACTATGTGTAAGTGCGCTTCTATGTATGTGAGTGTGCCAGGCCGACCATATCAACAGATGTGAAAGCGCATTAGCACAAACTTTTATCAGCTGCTTGCCACTCACATTCTCCCCGTACCCCTAAATGTTTCACATTATTAATGTTCAAGCCATGCGCAGGAACATTTGCCCACAGCTCTCGGATATTGCACTTGGACAGTGCCACGTGTTGCCGCTGTTGCAGCAACTACCACACACTTGTATACCTCAAAACGCTTTCTACTTTATTTCCACATGTTGGTTCTTGGCTGAAATAAGTTACATAGCCATATTTTAGAAGGTAATACCGAAAGATTGAATCCCCCCACAGAGTTAAAAAGATGGGCAAACGTTTCATGGCAATTTTTCTTTTCGATCCGATTGAAGTGGAAGTTCAAAGTTCTTTGTAAAATATCATTAGAGAATTGGAAGGCGAAAAATATGTGAAAAAGTTAAATTTGTAAAAAAAATTGGTCTGGGCAATAACAGCTTGAACATGATATATGAGTATGATATATGAATGTCAAAATGGGGAAATTTATGGAAAATAGCCATTTAATTTTTGGCGCGTTACTCAAAAAAAAAACAATTCTGTTTGTAATAAATTTTTACCAATTTTAAAATCTAAATTCTCATCAATTTGAGCAAGGAACAAACATTTGCTTAATATTTTTATTTTTTTATTATTTATAGTGTTCAATCGTACTCTGTTTTGGCTGTACTTTTCAGCTGACCTCTAGATATTTCTTTAAAAAAAATTATAAAATAATTTTAATTGTGTGGCAATCTGTCTACTTTTTCAGCTTTATCTACAGTATCTAACTTACGAAAAAAAAATCATTTTAATGCAGAACATTTATCACAATTCAGCTAACATATGAAAAGTGAAATGGAAATGGAAGAGTAAATGGGAACGTGACGAAATAAAAGCAGCGCCAGTGTTCACTTATACTTAGTAGGCGGCGCAGTTCGTTGTGTTTTGTAGTGTGCATTGGCCCTGAGGGGCTAAAATAGGCGTGCAAAAAGCATTGTGAATGCATCTAAACCACTTGCCATGCGCCCGCCGCAAACTAAACCCGCCCACAATCCCCACCCAAGTACTCATCCGCATCCTTATCTACTTCATTACAAATGCAAGGCAGTCCTTTGTCTCGTGTTGCACCGCGTCGTGCTTTGTATTGCAATTTTAATTTCCGCTTTCACTTTGCCTAGATTCACTTTTTGTCTGCCCCGCCATCTTGTTCAACGTCCCACTATCTGCTCCGCTCTCTCTCTCTCTCTCCCAGTTTGGGCCCGTTGCCCGTCTTTGTCTGGCAACTAGCATTGCTCATGTATTTGCTGATTTACACTTTACGACGAGTGAGTTTTCTTTTGGCCACACAAGCACACATGCAGTTTTTCTCTTTTCTTTTCGCCTGCCATTTTTCCTTTTGCTTTTGTATTTGCATAGAAAAAAGGGACAAGAGCCGGCAGCTGTTTTTCAATTTTCCGCTTCAACTGTTGAAGCAAATGTTGAGCAACTTATGTTGCTTTTCCTATACCCTTGAAAAGGCATTCTAATTTTGAGCAGAAATGTGTAACGCACTGAGGGAGACATTTCACACACCATAAGGTATGCTTAATCAGTATCAACAGGCAAATGGATATAGCCGTCCGACCATCTGAGGGTTTTTAATGAAAACTAGTTTCGCAGTCTTAAAGCTATTTCCATGATAAGGTCCGTCCTAATAAAGTAATTGACTGAAAGATCGAGCAGTACATATGCTGGAGTCGGCCAGTTCATCTTCTATATAGCTGCGATAGGAATGGAATGTAGAATAACTTTGTAATTTTTCTAGATATCTTTAATCAAATTATTTTCTAAAAATATTCTCTTAATAATCTGCGAATTCGTATCAAATCCGAGCCATATGTCTAAAAGGGTATCTCATCTACGGCTTTCCGATTATACCCATTCTTTCCTCTTGTAACTGTTGTTGTCCTTGCAGTTGTATGGAAAAAACAAAACAATAGCGCATGAATATGCAGGCCGCAGCTTCTACAACACGCAAATCTCTTTTAGCTGCTGCTTTCCATTATAGGAAAAATGCGTTGAGTACCAAAACTATTTGCGGTAGCTGTGTACATGGAATTGGACAGCGCTTGGAGAATTCAATTTGCGCGCAGCCCATGTTTTTATGTTGGCCAGTTTTTTGGCCAGGTTTCTGTGCGACTCGCTTGGCGCTGTGAATGGCTGAATAGCTGCCAGTCAGGTAATTTCGGAAATGTGCTCGCAGGAGGTTTTCGGTTTTTTTCTTTTCCTAGTTTGGGGTCCGGCTTGTCTTTTGGCTTAACGCTGTTCTTTTAGGGGCTGTGCAGTCCCTTTTTATGCGAACCGCAGTCGTTTACATTGGGGATTTGCATGTGTGTGTTGCCTGCTACTTTGTGTGAGTCTCTCTCTGTGTGTGTGTGTGTGTGTGTTTGTGTCCTTATCTCAGCTGAGATTTAAGCTACATATAAAATTTATGCGTGTGTGGCTTACATCTGTGCGTGTGTTTACGACTGTTTTTTTTCTGGGTTAGTCCACGCTTGGTGCTATACCCTGTTGCCTTAAAAATTCCACCAAAGTGAGAAATGTATGTTGCAGATATACGAGTTTACGGCCGTACGGTTCCAGTTGTTTTTAAAAAAGTTCATATTTTATAAAGTGCATTTATATGTAAAGATTAATTTTATTATGATCAATTTGATCATTGATCATTACAATAGCATGTCGATTAGGTATTGTTTTTAATAATAAATCAAAATATCTATATATAAATTACATTAGCGAGGTTCCGGGTATAATATAACTATTATTATTGCTATTTTTAATTTTTAAATTTTAAATAAAAAATATAAGTTATAGAGCGTTTGTCCCAGATATGACAATTTTCACAAATTGGATCTGGATTCAAATATTAACTATTATTCATCTCAGTTTTAAGTTTACACTTGGATTCAGATTCATAAGAAAACCTGAGCTTACAAATTCAAGACTTTAACAAACAGTCACTCGTTTGAGTTTATGATAAACCTTTATTGTCAAAGTTCGTGCCACTTCATAGAAACGCTATATTTTCCCAAGAATTGCTCTTCATTTTGGATAAAGAAAAACATAAAAAATTGTTTGGATCCTATTTGAAGGGTATTCTTCAGAGAAATACACACTACTGAAACGCAACAGACCTGCTTGACATTTTGTGGCTGCTCTGAATAGACGCGTACTTCGTAAAGGCAGCTTTTGGGCAATTAGAGCCTCAGCTTTGCCAAATGTCAACAGTCAAGGGAAACGCCCAATATGAGAACCAATAAAATGTTGCACAGCCACCAGCAACAGCAACAGCAGCTGCTGGCCCAACAACATTTTGCCATTGATTGACTACAAAGCAATGGCAGTGCCACGCCCCCACCGCATACACAGGCGAATGCCTTCATTGTGCCTAGTTGGCGAAAGTTTTATGCCTAGAATATTTCATAGAACTTGGTACTTTTAATAAGCAATTTGCTTAAGTGCTGCCGCCTGTGCAACGCTTCCCTCTGCCACGCCTCCGACATGCCTTCATGCCATTGTCAATATGACTAATCATGCATATATTTCATAGCGAGATATGAGGCCCTTGCCCCGTAATCTCCCTGTCCCTCCCTCTCTCTCTCTCTCTCTGTGTGCCCTCTGACAACCGCACAGCTGTCAGTTCAAATTGAGTCAAGCCACAAAATTCACTTTGCATTTGCCGGCGGCGTCAGCCGTTCGAGGATTATTAAAATTACGCATACGCCGCGTTTTAAATGAAGTGCCTGCCGCTGCGGGAGGGGATGGCAGGGAGGTAACTTTTTGGGCCAGTGTTGCTGATGTGTTGTTGTTGTTGTCGTTGCGGTGAGAGTCAGTCATAAATATTTGAGCGCGTTGCTGGCTCATTTGCGAGTGGGCGTGGCGCACATGCTCACGCTTTGCCCACGTCGATTTGTACGAAATATATTTGCGAAATTAATCTCTTGTTTGGCTAAAAATACTCACAAGCGGCAAAACAAATTGCCAAAGGCGAACACCAACAAAAAGTGATTAAAATTAGATAAAATTACGAAATGTATTTATAGTTTCTTTTCGTTGACGAGATAAATGCTATTTCTATAGACATATGCCAGTGAAAAAAATTTTAATTGAATTGAATGATTAGTTTATTTGGATGTTTAAATGTGGCTTAAGAGTTAACATAATGCTTAGACTAGGGGATCAAATGAAGTTAAAGTGAGCATGAAGGACAGTTTGAACAAATTATAAAACGAAAAGCCAGTTGTACCTAATCTTTGTTATGTAAGGAGATGGGATAGGGACTATAGAGAATCACAAAATATTTTTGTAGTGCCAAGACTGATGTCAAGAAAATATGGGGACAGTTGTAAATTTAACTGACAGATATAAAATGTAGTTAGATGTAGAGAACATCAAAAATAGAATAGCTGATTGCAATGGGATTAAAGTAACCAAGTGGCGACGGTTTTGATCAAGTTCATAATAGAGAGGACATAGGTTATTTAAATATGAGTAAGAATCATATCCTGAGCTGATCAACGAGTCCTAGGAAAGAATTAAAATTCCAGCAAAATGAGAATAGATAACAAATAATATTTATAAGAACAAAGGCAAGCCTATTGTCAATGCAGTTAAAATGTTTTTTATATATTGACCATAAGATAAGTGCTTGCCCAGCCAAAACTCAGCTTTGGCTATACCATATAAATGTTATTACTCTCTCATTGCATTTCAATGGCTAAATTTAATGAGCATAATTCAAGATATATTAAGTTTATTGATAAGAACACCCTCCGGCAGTAGGGGAATAAACAAAAGACGAGTGAATCCATGAAAGCAGCTACATCCTTTCGTTTTAACGACTTTGCATTGTTGGGCATTTTAATTTTTATGAGTCCGATTTGGACAGCGGCTAGAAAATTAGGCTCGATTGCTCGATTTATTTGCCTCAACCGCCCCCCCGCTAGCTGGCAAATGAGCCGTAAAAAGGAAACAACAAAAACTACATCAACGACAGCGGCTCGTTCTGGAAAATAGCCCAAAAATATTGTTGCGCTTGCGGTTCTGTATATTGAGGGTATTTTTGCTGCTGCTGCATAAATTAAACTGTATAATGTGTAATTTGAACGGGCCAATAGAGGGCTTGGCATAAATTAAGCATGAACTTTGTGCTAACGCGCTTCTGACCCGATGCTGGCATAAATTAAATCATTTGCCTTGCACTTGCAGCTCATCGTGGAGATCAACAGCCATGTGGCGCTCTTCCGCGACATGCTGATACATGTCGGCCAGGCCAAGGACTGCCCCGAGCTGCGCGAAAAGATACGCAAACTGCGACGCACCTGTGTGGAGGCATTCAAGCACACGGCACAGATACTTATGCCACAGGTCAAGAGGTAAGCAAAGAACCATCATAGACTTATCAGACCATGCCAACTCAGACCATGCCCATGCCAAACCCGACCTCATTCCATTGTAGACCAAAGTAACACGCATCGCATTAGCATAAACATAAACATCAACATGTGTGTGACATTTTACGGCTCACATTTCAATACCCTCTGGTAACAAAAAGAAATTGTGTGAAAGGGTATTTTATTTAGTATATCACTCACTCGGTCTGCATAGCTTAATAACTGCGTTATTAAGGATGGGGTTATATATATTTTATCAGCAAAAAAGTCACTAAAGGATTTAAAAGAAATAAGTTTTATTTTAAATTTATATGTCAATTGATGAGTGCTTGCAGGGTATTCTCCAATCGAGCACTCTCCTTTACATTCATGTTTTATTTTGTTGAAAAAGCTTTTAAAGTCGTACATTTTATGAAAATGTATGCAAATTTAATTGCAGTCAAATTTACAAGAGGGACAACCCACGGAAAGGTACACCCGTATATGCAAAAGGGATAACATAAATAACAATTTGTCGCTGTTGGCATCCCTCTTGCAGGCACTGTCGCAGTCCCATACTAATTTCGACTCCAACTGCGAGTCACCTCTTGAGTTCCTGAAATGAGTTAGTACCGGTTGGCGTTTGAGTTTGAAATTCAATTTCGGATGCTGCATAATTTAGCAGCATGTGTTTTGCCGGGTTTGGGTTCAACTTTTTGGACAGTTGCCCTGGGCCACGGACACAGAGTAAAAAGTTAATAACATTTTGTTTACAACGAGCTGCGGGCACAACAGAACACGCATGCAATTTCTTTCATTAAAGCTGTTGATGAAAAAAATGAACGTGTGGGGCTCAGTGTGTGGGAGTATGAAGTCCCTTTGCCTGGGAAATGAGCAAGCAGTTATATAAATAGCATTCGAACCGAACAACAACGCAATAAAAGAAAATATATAGCTTGCAGCAATTGCTTAACATTTATTGGAAATAAAACTTGCAAAACTCAATCAGATCTTTAATTCTTCTCCTTGCCAAAAACTCTTAAGGAACTGCGATATGGCGCTTAAACCGCTTGAGAATTACATAAAGTCCACAAACTGTGTTTTAAATTGTTTGAACGACTAGCAGCTCCAGAATCTTAAGAGTCAGTAGTATAGAATAGTTCCTAAATATGTCCGTAAGCAGCTTATACCTAACTTCAATTTTAAGAACGAACTCTTTTCGCTGTTAACAGTGAAGGCATTTCGAATTTTGGCAGCTAAGCCCCTCATATAAACTCAACGCAGGTTCTCAAGTTATTGATTTATGCTGTCGTTGAAGCATAAATTGTTACAAAATGAATTCCCATGTGGCTGTCACACATGCGCCATTATCACACCCTGCCTAAACTTCAAAACTCAAGACTGACTAAAAAGAAGAAAAAAAACCAACTTTTTAACAAACAACTTGAGCGAATTTTCATACACAATACATAAAGCATTTTTTTGTTGTCTTTTCTTTTTGTAATTTCAGTCACAAACTCAATAGAACAGACTGTCAATCGTGTGTGTGAACGAGAGAGCTTGAGAGGGTTAGGGTGTGCATTGGGGTGTCTGCTATTTGCTTTTTAAGAACACCCTATGACAGTGTGATTTATTATGGAGCAGACGCTTTAAATGTCACTGCAGCACAGCAGAAATGTCAATCCTCAAAAAACGAGCATTTGTACTTGTTGTTGTAATTTTTGTATATGTAAAACCAGCTGTTCGAATCACTCGACTGTGCAATACTCTGTTCATAGTGAAATCATAATTGAACCCGTTTAATGGGCACCTTTTTGAATAAGCGACTGTTAAATGAAAAAATGTGAGTGGGCATAGAATAATATATTGTATATACCAAAAATATAGCTTCAGCTTTAATAAAGCTTATAGGAGCATAAGAAACATTGCAAAAAATAAACAAATATTCTCTTTTGTCCTTTGGTAAGTTGAGCTTAAAAAGTGCAGGGACCAACAAAAAATTAACTTTCGGCAGTTGAAATTGATGATTGGCTCTGGCTGTAAGCCAAGCGAAATAATAACAATAGCAAAGGCAACAAATACAAAGAAAAAAACGCTGTTAAAGCTGACACAAGAGATTTCAATTAATTTTTGGCTTTAAATTGGCAAAAATGTAGGGGAAGGACTCGACCAGCAGCCGCCTCCCGTCGAGCTACCCAGCGGCGCACTCGGCGTATGAGTGATGGCAATGAATTAGCGACAACAGCAGCAGCAACAGCAGCGACAGCGGCGACAGATCAAAGCGCCAAGCCAGAAAGTTAAATTGAAAGTAAAAGTTCAATAAAGCAAAAAGTATTTGCTGCCGAAGCAAGGGGGATGAGAGCAGGGCGGAGAACCGTGGGAGTGTGCGTTGGAAAAACTTTGAGCGAAACTTGACAATGACACAGACTAAACTTTCCGACAGTGTTCCGTTGTTGTTTTTATGTTTTGTAAACACATGCCGCGCCATGTGAGGCAGCCAAAGTCACAAAAGTAAACAAAAAAGAGAAAAAAACACACAGCACACAAAAATTAAGTAGGTACTTGTCGTGTGTAAAACATGCAGAAGCTGATATACTCTAACCAAACAAAAGAAGTTTCACTTAAGGAATTCTTATGCTGATAATTTATTTATGCTTTTTATGTACGGAACTTGTTACTTGTGGAATTCCGCTTCATGAACTACGAACTCTTTCAACTTTGTCAAGCTTTAATTAGTTTTAATGCATTTTTGTGATTTGTTCTTCTACATATACCTACAAAAATCAAGTTTCCATCAAAATTATTTTTCTCACAAATTTAACGTTTTCCATAGTCTTCAAAATTAAAAGTTGAGGTCACGAGTTCCTCATGCGCTTTGCATATTTTCATATCTTATACCATATAAGCCATTGCCCACATACTTGTATAGCATTAAGTCTCCAAGGCTACAAAGTTCGATGTAAGTTTTCATATTTATGCCAAACTTCAGTAGGTATTACACGGCTTGGCGAATGCCCGTGAGCAAACAGTCTGAGCAAGTTATAATACCGCTCAGCCAGGTAAGCAAAAATAAAAGTTTGCTTTTACCCCAAGTAGCCCACACAGTTATCTTGATGCAGCAGCAGATATTTCATTCCACATTCCAGCGCCTTCCACTAGCTACTCGCGTCTTCCGGCATTTGGCCTCGCTGTTCCTTCCACCTGCCTGAGCAGACAGCACTTTGGCCAACTGCTTAAGTGACTGATAGTTGTTTGCATGTTTGTTTGCTCGGCCGTACACAAACACATTTCTCGACGTACACCGCTGCGTATACATGTTCCCGCTCGTCCCACTGTTGTTCTACTGCGCTCATTTCACATATTGTATTTGCCTCTGTACTTGTTGTGTATTTGTATATTCGTGTTTGCCTAACAGTTATGTGCAGCAGCTGTTTGTTGTTGCTAAATTACTGTCGCTGGCTGACTTTGTTTTAACTGTTATCGTTGGGATCTGTTTTGACAGTTAGTTACTCATCAGAATGCCCAAGGCAAGCCAAAGTCGTCATGTTGGCTTAAACGCATTTCCTCTGCAAATAATGTCCACACATCCCCGACATATTTCTGTGTCCTTGACGACACGAAAACTGCAGTGCAAACAATACACAACAATGGGACTGACTGGCCGGGATCCCACAGGCCATAATACCGAAGCCAATGTCGAGTCTTGCAGACTGCATCGATGGCAAGTGTCTGCCTGGCTACACAACCATATTTCCTATCACTGTTGTTAGCTACCCTGTAGCCATGATTATCGAAAATGCTATTATAACGTGAAGGCAGTATTTACCTGATTTTATATCTTCCTTCTTGTTCAGTATTAACATTCGACTCAATGTACATCTGCCCAATATGTGGCCACGATTTTGAGAACTCTGGCAGATACGTTCTTAAATAAGTCAAACAAGTTTTTCGGACTCGAGCATATCCCAGTCTTTTCCAATAGTGTTAGTTTATATTCGTTTTTGTACTTCGCAACTCGTATGCGCCCGTTGGTCTGTTGGGTGGACACTTTTATACACTTTATAACGTTTCGTTTGAAACTCATAAAAATTCCTTTTCAAACCCCTAATTATATTTAACAATTTAATATTATTATAAATCAGTATTCAACCTGTATTCATTCTAGATAATGTAAAATATTTATCAAAAAAAATGTGAAAAATAGATCTAGCCACTATTTAAGACCTGCTTGTAGGATAACTCCCAGTCGAATACCCTTCGCTCGCGCTCTATTTCTGGGTTTTACAACAATATTATTTGTTATTTCGACACTGGATGCCGGATTCTCTGGGCTCTGGGCGCTGCGGTCATGTTAGTGAGAATGACGCCAAATTATTAAGAGTACGATTATTGAGTGGGGTCGTCACGTAGCCAGATTCTTTACACTTTTACGAGTGCCGTAAACCACGAAGAGTTTTACAGCACCGTCACAGCTGCAGTTAATAACTTCGATTTGTCCGACGAGACGCATTGCCTTGAGAAATCGCACGTTAGACGCAGTTTACGAACGTGGCATTTCTCGCTCCTTCATTTCTCAGTTTCGCCTCTCTCTCAACGCATAATTGTGCATTTTTCGTTGGATAGCTCGTTTTTGTCGTTTGCCATTTTCTTTGGCGCTTGCGACCCAAAAGAAAACCCATCTTGAGTTTGAAGCTAGCGCAGCACAATAAAAAATATTTCACTGTTATTCGCAATAAATGAAAGTTACGTCCAAACTGTAATCAACAGCAGCTGCCGACAGTCCCCGGCTCCAGCATCCATTTGGTTGCTGATTTTTTTATTTCTCGCTTTTTGGGTTTTTGTGTTCGTTTTTTTGTATGGTTTGCAGACTTAGCTCATTCCAGTCTTTATGCTTATTATGCTTTTTGCAAAGTTTGTTGTAATTTCTGGAACTTTTGCATACATTTTCTGTCGGATCCGGCAAGTTTCCATGTGCAAAACACAAGGTATAAAGGGAGGTGTATGTATGAATTAACAAAACACCCAACGAGCAATTTAGATCGCCGATCAGTCTGAAAGGGTATTCAATCTTCAGTATTACTGAAAGGAAGTAAATATATATTTTCTTAAACTTATTATTGCGTTTTTCTTTTTGCTGTCAGTGAAAATGACCCGCGTTAATGTGCTTAGCAATAAGCAACAGACAGAGAAAGCAACAGAAGTATAGATAGAGATAGAGATAAAAAGAGACAAGGACAGAGCGACATCTTTCATTTCAAAGAAAGTAATAGGAAACCATAAAAATATGTCCTTTTCCCTCGGTTAGCGCCTTGAAGCTTGAGGAAAAAAATCGCTATGCATTAATTTAAACATTAATTTAAACATATTTTAAGCACATAAAACTGTTGGTTCTATTAATTCAATATGCTACACAATTACGAAATTATGGAAAGTAGCAGCAGACCTCAAGTCTGTTCCTTATGGTCGCGTATTATTTATAGAAAATGAAGAAATAAAGTAAATTTGTTAGACCAGGGGTCTTTTGTGCGCTTTCTTCTTGTCTACAGGAACAACCATTTTATTTCGATTCTTAAAAGCAAACTTTTTGGAGTAAAGATTATTTAACATTATTCTATTGGTTAGGTAATAGACTACGTCTGAAATATCTATTCTATATGTATAAATTCAAGCGGATATTTTCCGTTTTTTTCCGCCCTTACCACAGGTTTTTGAAATTGGGTTCGAAGTCGATTTAAACAGTCAGTGTAAACAGTTTCATCTATATTTCACCAATAATATAAATATAATTAAAGCATTAAAGCCTCCAAAACTAACATAAATTATTGAAAACCGCATAGCAGCCAGTCAGTCGGTCAATCAATTAGTCGGGACGAACAGTTTTATTCATAGAGATGAAAATATGATTAAGAACATATCGTGTTAATCAAGAATTCATTATTATCAATATGCCTAGCTCCGTCTGCTAGACTTGCCTTACCCGAATGTACATAATTAACTTCGAATAAAGCGGCACACGCAATCAATTAAATGTTCTACTCACATAATTATCCCTCTTCAATGTGACATATGTTATGCCTCCCCCTCTCCCCTCGAGGGAAAAGCAACAACATTTCTGTGTTCTTAGCCGCACACCTTCAGCAATCTGTTATCAGGAATCAAACTTTGCATGAGGAACGGAATCGCAATCGCTTTAACTAGGTTCAGCTATAAACAGGCATACACTCAAACACACTTAGTCAGAGATGAACAGGGACACCCTATGGCAAGATTAATTTGCAATTTATTTCCTTTAATAGTAAAAATGGGTGTTGACGTCGGCCGGTGGTGAGGGTGTTAGGGCATGAGGATAGTTGTGTAGAGGACACGGCCACACATTCCATATTCACCGGTATGGTGGGTGGGTTCAGGATTTAGGGATTAGGGACTGAGCAGGCGCCCGAACTGCTTGTCCGACAAGTTGGTAATTTGGGTAAAATATATTTTTCATTTCCAGCTATCTATTTATACCCTGTAACTATATAGCTGACCAAAGGGAGTACCATAAATCATGCTACTAATGAATCATACAATCGGTTCAAACTAAACATGTTAATCAAATGTATTAAATATAATAATATATATTTTTAAATATATGTGTAAATAAGATAATAATATAGTATACAAATTAAATTAAAATTGGAATTGCTTTCATCATGCAATAGAGCTCAAATTATGAGTATACCGATTAAATAGCCTATTATAATATTTTTTTAGCTTATAAATTTATTTATTTATTTATTTCCTGTATATATTTAAATGAATTCCTTATAGTCCAACATTTCTGCTTATTTTCATTTCTTGCCACATGAAACTAACACAGGCACAGGGTATCTCTGCGACCAGCATAATAATTCAATATTACTTGTTAGTTAGTATCTCCATTTGGAGTCTCCCTTCTTCTCGGGGTTTTGGCAATGCAAAGCACTTTTACAAATTGAATTTATTTTCATGCTTCTGCAAATATGTTTATGGCAATTTATATCGTATTTATGTGTCGACTGTCGCTTCATAATTGCTCTGCGAGCGTCACAGCTCAGAATTAATGCTGGGGATGCCCAACTAAGCACCAAATTACACAGCAGCTGTAAATTCTCAACATTACTTGAATTATGAGCATTTCAAGAAGCAATTCCACGTTATGCGCCAGAGTTGATTTAAGCTAAGGCTGCAGTATAATTGAGTTTTAAATGCCAAATAAACGATTCAAAACGATTATGTTCATAAAATTAAAATATTAGCCATTATAAATGCATATTACTTGGGATTTTTGTCAGCTTTAAATCTAATTTGAAGAGTGCTTTTAAATTGGAAATTTACTCACTCAGATCTGCTTACATTTCGAAACACATTTATGAATTCAATAAATGAGACTTTAAGCTTTAAGCTTGTTGACCTTAAAATTATTGTTTGCTCCTCAATGCTTTAATCATTCTGCTAAGAAGCACAACTTGGCTCTCTCTTAAAGCTCGATCTAGCACATTTTTGTTTCAACAGGTATTTTGGGGCATGCATTTAGGGTCTCTTGAAGCTCAAAGCTCCATTCAGTACATTTTAATTATTTACCAAAGTTGCAATTTGCAATTGGGCTCAAAAATTAGAGATTTATTCAACTAAAAATTAAAATATAGTTTAGCACGTGAAAGATTTAACCGTGCTGAATTGTTGTTGTCACTTGCGATTAGGCATCCTTGGAGTTCAAAGCTCGGTGCAGCAGTGTCATCGCCACACAGACCCGCATAGTTTGTATTTTTAATATTTCTTACTTTTGTGGAAAATATTGACAAATATCTGGACAAACACACACAGTTGCAATGTATATTTGCCTACCAGTATAAATATAATCAACTGTTGTGCTTTGAGTCAGCTATTGACGATGGCCTTAGAACTTGGCCCAATGAATTTATTTGACCCAGTGAGTCACCGCCTCTCCCCACACACATGACCCAAATAACAAAAATGTCATCAAATTCATATAAATTTCATTTCTCAATTTCCGCATGCAATTTGGCGAGCCACAAAACACACAAAACATACACAAACGCACACATCCTGGCTATGAAAGTTGAAACACATAGATTTACCTTTTGCATATGGATTTACTTATATTTTTCAGCGCAATGGCCGAAGGCATACTCACCGACAATCCGCACCTGGTGCTACTCTTCTACATGGCTCAGCTGTTTCTACGTGAGCTTGTGAAAAGCTACCGGCTCATACAAGTTGTGCCAATGGATATGTCTGGCTATTATGGTAAGCTGGCTTTAAAATCAGCTTTAAACTGGTGTGTGAGTGTGTGTATATAGGGGTATGTCTGTGTGTGTGTGTGTGTGCTTTGTTTATTTGTCATTGCAATTCAGGACAAGCGCAGCAAGTGCTTAGCCATTGTTTGCCATTTGGCAGTTGCATTCCGCTTGACTGTACGAGCTTTGATTGCCAACATTCATTGGCCATGCTGAAACTCGAACGTGCGAGTGCAAAAGTTTGCCCTGCTCTTTGGTTTGGCCTTGACTGATTGGTTCGTCGGAGACTTGTTCGGCCTGCACTTCAATAATGCCAAAAACGCAAATTGCTGACCATAAATTTTTTAATTACCAGCCCCCGTTAAGCCCGCAACTGTCAACAGCGTAAAGGAAATGCAAATATTTACAATGCGAATTTCTGAGGCCAGAATCCTCGGCGGGGTCGTGGCTTTGTGGGTTTTTAGCTGAAGCCAGTTTATGGCAGCCAACGCATTCACATGGTGCCCAAAAATGCAGCCCAGTGCAATGAAAATGTCATAAATAATGCATAAACGAGGCCTTATGAAATTGAGTTTCTGCTGTATGTGCATGTGGATGACACAAAAGGAGCGGGGCTTGCGAAGGGAACGGGCGTAATATTTAAAAATATATGCCCTCAGATTCAATCTAGGGTAAGGGAAGTTTAAAAATGTGCAATGCCAGCGAAAAGCTGCGGCTTACATAAATCAAAAATTGCGACTCCCGCAATATATGCGATACTTTTTATACGTATATTGCGTATACGTCGTGGTGAACAATCAAATAAATTGATTTACGGCGTTGCACAAAACTCGACAGTTTTTTAGATGTCGAATATTATTTTAATTACCCCAGCTGCATTTGCACTGATGAAGATTGATGATAATCGAAAATTGATGGCTCACAGCCCACATAGAACACGGGGCAAACGTTGGCAGGCTTAAGTAATTGTCAAAAAAATTGTATTTGGTAAAATATCAATATAGCTAGAAATGTGCAATTTTAAAAGAATGTTTTAGCCAATCGAAAATGAAAATTTATTAAGCCACGTGCGTAAATTTTATAATACCAATTTTAGAGCGTTGAGAAGGCTGACTAAAAGCTCTTGGGTGGATTGAATGTTTTGTGTAGCCTAATAGACTTATAAGCCGAACGAGCTTTTGGCAGAAAACTATTTCTACTAATAATCTATGTCTAAAGCATAAAGCTCTTTTCATAATGTCAAGCTTTTGCAGACCTGTGAAAGCACATTAGAATTCTTTACGATTTAATCTTGAAATAAATGTATTTTAATCAAAAGCTTTAAGCTTGTCAAGCTCTACTTGTCAAAGGAGCTTTACTTATAGTACACAATTTTCAACTTAATTTATCCTCACTGTAAGACTAAAGCTACTAAAAATCCTGCTTTAAAATGTTAATCAACCATATTTTGATCATATTGTTAAATAATTTCGTCGTTGTTAAATAGTCGTCGCCTACCTAACTCCGTATCAAAACTATGAACGCAATACGAAAATTTTGATACATACAAATTTTATTCCAATAAAAGAAATACATTCAAGAATACCCTTAGAGGATCACAATTGATGCGCGACACATAACAACAATGTTGATGCCACGTTTTGAGTGCGGATGGCAAATAAAAACAAAGCTAATGAAGCAAAAAATAACAAAAAAAAACACACAGAGAAGCCGTCAAGAAAATTGTTTGCATAAAAAAGAGGCAAATAAATACTCGTAAATACCAATTTATTTATTTTTCTGGTATGCAGGCGAAGCCCATGCAACATAAAAAATGTATATAAAGAGAAAACTATTTTTTTTTATTGGTTAAGTGCACAAAGAGGCAACTAAAAGCAACCGAGTTGGCCAATATGGTTTGTCTTTAATTTTGTACACTCTTGCAGCTCGAATTTTGATGTAATCGCTTGAGCTGATGCTTTAAATTGATATTTTGCGTTTATTTTGTAGAAAATCGAGCGGGCCCCTCAAATCTGGGCAATGTTATTAGCCAAATACTGTTGTGCAAGCAATTTACGCCAGATTTCAATGAGGAGGAATTATGCAGCATAACGAAGGATTCGCAGGACATTGCCATGTTGTTGTCCGAGCTACAGGAGTATATGCCGCAACACGAGGCATATTTAGGTGAGTTTACTGCGCAGTCGCCGCTGCACCTTGCACTTTCACATTTAGCCAAGGTCCAGCCGGAGGCCAAACGAAATTCTATTACACAGCAAAAAAAAAGAGGCACGCAAACTTGCCAACAGCTATTTGTACTTATGTGTTCACATTTCAGTCACACATTCATTAATCAACCTCTATATGTACACATGTGCGACTCTTTCATTCTTTCGATTACAGAGCGCAATGCGGCACTGGATACAAATACTCCTTGGCCGGCAAAACGACGCCAGAATTATATATGCAAGAACATGAGTCTACTATGCTGCGTGTCTCGCCCAAATTATCTCTGAGACGAGGCCGAAAGTGTTTAATCTTAAATGTTAAACACACACATAAGTATCACACATTTACACCCACACAGACACACACACACACTACTTGTATCAATTACTAGTGTTTAAGTCAAGCCCATGAAAAGCTAAACACAGAAATTGTACAGCCTAAGTGTAAAACCACTCAATTAGCATTGTAACCACAGGTCAAAGGACTTTCCATACAAAACAAATTTAAACATAAACTTATATATATATATATATATATATATATATATATGTATTTAGGGGAGTTGTGTATAATCAAAGTTAGTTATGCTGCATATACAATACATATTTAAAGTAAAAGCTCTCAATTTTGGCATTCCGTATGCCTAAGAGCAAAGTTTATAGAAGCGTTATACCACATTTGAAATCGCAGTAAAAAAAGTTCGAGTGGCATTAGCTGAAGGAGTTCAGTTGAGCTTTAAGCTGTACGGATTCTTTTATTGTATTTAAAGACTTCAATTCAAGCCACCTAAAACTTTAAGGCTCACACACTTTCAGCTAATGTCATTGCTACCTTTACATTTATCAAGCATATGGCAAAGCAGTTAAGACTTTTTAGACTTGTAAATTGTATTAACTGTATAGAGGTTATTTATTATATATAAACACTATAAAATACATTTTTCAATATACATACCGTTGAGTTAACATTAAGATTAGACAAGACATTGAGTAAGGTTGGCAAGGCAAAAAGTTAGACGTAGTCTCCAATGATACTAGCATGGTAATTAAATTAAAAGCCTGTACCAGACCTTGCCCTGGAACTGCAACTGCAACTGTCCCTAGGCCTGGGCCTGGGTGTGGGACTGGGCCTGGGCATGTGCTAGAACAAAAAGCAATAAAATAAAATGTTATTAACTCACACATGCACATACACACACACACATACACACACACTCACACACACACACAAACACACACACTACAAGCATCAGTGAAAGCAAAAAAGTCCTTAGGTTTCCGTTAGTTTATTTCAAAGACAAAACAACAAAGTTGAACTGTGCGCAGTACCTAAAATCAAGCAACAAGTGACCAATAAAAATGATAATTAAAAAGAACTTTTCAGTTTTTACAACTTTAAAATGTCGGTCCTTTAAGTATCATGTTAAATAGTATAACTACCAAATTTAATATTAAATATATATTCCAAAAGAGAGCACGTCTATTAAAACGCACTTAGTCATTATAACATGTAACTCGACATATATAAATTTCAACATAGTTTTCTATAGTAAAGATTACATATATTCCACATTATAATTACAATATACTCGTGTAACGCACAATTTGAGTTAAAGCCAAACAAGCTTATTCATTGCGAGGCCAAATAATATTAATTAAATTATTTATGCTTTTTTTTGGTTGCATTTTAAATGCATTCATTTAACACATACGCTGCATATTTTCGGTTGGATGATGTATTCACATACTTGTGTTATGTTTTATACACCCTGTAGCCCTAAAAGTAAGTAAAGGGAGTACCATACATATGTGTTGTTGGGAAGGAAATACATAAGAGATCGTTGAACCCGAATACTCACGGTTTACGCTGAATATTTCATATTGTGTTTAAAATATATATTATACAGACATTATATCATAACGATCTGATAATTTGCCATTTATATATTTAAATATGAGACAATATAAGTCCAATTCTGATTATATATATTATTATGCAAAATTTTAAAGGCTATTCTTCTGTCAAGTACTCTCCACAAGAAGCCTCTTTTAGTTTTTTCAACTTTTGTTTATCACACGTTTATTGAATGTTAATGTAAGGCACAGCACAGCACAGCACTGCAAATATTTTATTTATTGCTTAGAATTATTAAAGAATTGAAGTCGATTTGCAGCACAAACAAAATGAGATAATCAAATAATGTTGAGCATTGGACAATTGCTTGGGCACACTTTCAATAGCTGAAAGCCAACAATGAAAGCGTGCGAATAAAATATTTAAGCTTCAATTTTAATTGTAAATTGTTTGAATTCAACAAAAGATAAACACAAAACCAAAAAGAAAATAAATAAATAAAAATAAAATGTTTGGCAAATGTAATTATTTATCTATTTAGTAAATATTCTATTGTAGGCATAAATCAAACACCAAAATACAAATTTATAAGTATATTTATAGAAAAATTGATAGAAAGTTCATAATATTGGCAATTATAATTATTATTAGTCAACTCGTATATATGTACTTGTATGTACCCAAATATACATTCAGTTATACATATATAAATATATATTTAGCACAGTAAAGATTGTTTTAATATACTATATGCAAAAATGAATTCAAATAAATTAAATATACTAAATGTGATTGTTATATGATATTCATATACAAATTCAGTAAATGTTTGTTCATGTTATTTGCAACTAAAAATCTGATCAACTGATAAAACCAATGAAAACCAAATATTTAAAACACAAACCAAGTACCAAAACTTGGGGTGCCAATCAAATATGAATAAAGATATTTTTAGAGAAACTACACCCTATCCCGACTTTTATTGCCACCTCAGAATTTAATATGCAACAGCAAAAAAGTTTCAGTTTGAGCTTTGGATAGCACTAAATTGCTGGCAACGTGTAACATAAAATTTATTACACTTCATAAAAGTGAGCGATTAACGTTTATGGATGTGATTCCATCACGAACGCACTTACACACACACACACATATACACGCACACAGTCTGACTGCATATAGAATGAAAAGCATAAAACCTCTCCAGTTACGTGCTCGGGCATTCACGTGTTCGACAATAGATACGTCTTAATCAATCTTAAGCTTTTCCTAGTCAAGCTAAGGGCAAACATAGCACCCCAACACTCTGTTTAATTTAAACGCTAGAACAGAACGGTGGCACCTTTTCAGGTCTCTCACTATTCGCCTATGACACAAGCTGAATGCGCCTCACCCGAAGCTTTAAATTGATTTAAAGAGCTTTTAAAAATCGACTTGATTATTAAAATTTTATAATTTTATCTCAATACTGTTTGCGCTTTCAAAAGCTTTTTATAGAATTCTCAGTTGCAGGCACATTCATTCATCTAAGGTGAAGCTTTAATGAACTTAAAAAGCTTTATTATTAAAGAAATTTAAAGGTAACTTGAGAGGAAATATGAACAAGTTAAACTACAAACTCCAGCCGTTCACTTAACATAATGTTCTTTAAAGTGCTTCAATAAGTTTATTTTTTATTATCTGAGCAGGTTATCAAAAATAAAATAAACATTTACATACTCAAAATTCTGTTACTTTTGCCACTAAACGAGATTAATCATATGTTTATGAACTACTTTCAGTTAGTGTCATTGTAATTAAAGCCATTTCAGCTTTGAGTACTATACGCGCACATTTAACCCACCGGCCATGTGATTTGCATGGTCACGTAGGTATGGCGTTAGAAGCTGTATGTAAATTAGTTGTGAAAGTTCCCCCCACCGTCGCTGCCTCGGTATGCGGGGGCACGCACTCGAAACGCCGTCGATTGGCTTTTGATGTGGCGGATGTGGCAGCGGACAGTGCGGTGGGCGGGAGCATGGCAGCCACATTGAGTACGTGCCGCTTAAACAAAATGCTACACTTACCGCACACTTCGACACCTTTTGCGGCAGAGCAGCAGAGCGGCCAAGCTGGGATCGGGCGTGAGGTGTTAATAGATTTACGTGGCTGCGACGCTGTGCCTGTGGCTTTAAGATTGAGCCAATGTGCTTGTTTATTTAAACATGCCTCGGGAGCCAAATGACAATGCCACGCGCAACACTTGGACGCGCCTGCGGCTCATTACGCTCAAATAAAACGGCAAATTAAAATAAATACTAAAACAAAAGGCAAAGGCAAAGGAAAGACCATCAACTGACAAACAAGCGAAAAAGTTTTAAAAAGCAAAACAGAAACTGGACATTAATTTTATTTGTATTCGCACTCGCAATGCAGCAAGTCCAAGGACGAGGTCAAAGTGGCAGGACAATGCCTCAACGGCTATGCACCAGCTGCGAAGACATTGCGACAGGGCGCTGTCTGGCTGCTTGTGCGTGCGTATATGTGAGTGCGGTTTGTGTGTGTGTGTGTGTGTGTGTTTGTGTACGCGCTACAAAACCAAAATAAATGCCAACAAGAATAATTCCCGGCTAATCCGATTTAGTGCGCTGCCTGCTTCCATCGCAAACAACAAAAAAGAAAAAGAAAACCCACTTGATTATATGCCGCCACTGCCATTGTCTACCTCCCCTCCGCACCCATTGAGCAGAGCATTTAAGTGGCGGCTGGCTGACCAGCCAGCAAGTTAGCTGCCTGTTTTCCAATTGACAGTGGTGAAAACATTTAAATTGGACATTTAAATGAGCAACAGACTTTTTTTAAGGAAAATTAAAAAGATAACTTAATGAACTTATTTATCAGAAAGCTCCAAAGCAAAAGGCTATCAAATAACTTTGGAGCTTAAAGCCACATTCATTGAAGAAATTTAAAAAAGCTCATTAACTATTTAGGTACAAGTAACCATAAAAGAAATACTATACTATAATACTATATATAATACTAAAATAAAATAAGACTTGTCTCAGGAAAAATTAAATCAAGCGCTTAATAAATCTTATACATTAAAAATCTCCAAAGCAAGTAACTTTCAAATCAATTAGAAGCTTTAAGCATATTTAACTAACGAATAAAATTGCGAAAGCTTTTTAGTGCTTTACCCTATGTAAAACCTTCTTAATGCGAAAGCCTCCGAAAGTTCTTTAAAAAAAAGCTTACAAATCACTTGGGAGGTTTATACGGATAAAAAAAAGCAATAGCAGTTTTGACACAAAAAAAGCTACACTTAAACTCGATACACTATAACTAAATATTATTATAAGCATAGAAAAGCTTGAATCAATGAATCAAATGAGATAATGTACAACTAATTGACACAGTTGTTTGAATATTGCCCCTGGCAGGACAATGTATTCACTATTGACTTTCTTCCCAAGATTTTTCCAAGCTTTAAATCTTAAAAATATATAAGTGTTGACAAAGAAATACACGATATTTTATGAATTTTTTTAGTATCATTTTTTGCAATAATCCCATTGTTGTTGTGTGTAAATTTGTTTGTGTTTTTAGTTTTGTGTGGTCTTCTGGTTTTGGTAACAAAATTCTTGACTTTTAAATGCGGTTACTCGTCTGCGTCTTATGTCTTT